CCCCCCCCCCCCCCCCCCGCAGGCAGATTTCGTGCTGATAACTTGAACAAGCTGAAGAACCTTTGCAGCAAAACCATCGGTGATAAGATGAAGGTGAGGGCCTCGCCAGCCTCTCCCCGGCAATGTTAAAGGATGCTTTTACCTTCTTGTTCGGGTCTTTAAACCCTGGCGGGGTTTCTCTTCCCTCGTGCTGCAGAAGAAGGAGCCCGTAGGGAGCGATGAGTCCGTGCCAGAGAGCGCGCAGAACCTGGATGAGCTGACAGCTGATGTCCTGGGGGTGAGTCCGACCCCACCTCCCCCCCATGGCTCCTATGGATCCCCAGCACTGCCTGCAGCCCCATAGCGGGGATCCCCATTTCTCCCGGTCCTAAGCCGGCCTTTTCCCGCTGTCATTCATCTGGAGGCCAGCACCGCTGTGCAGCAGCGCCGGTCAGCGACCCGACCTGCGGTTACGGGGGGATCCGAGCAGCCTCAGTAGCTGCTGTTCCCTGGAGGCCCTCCCTCACTGCCCGCTCGCCTTCCCCCTTCATTAACCACGCTGTTTAATGAGCGTGACGCTGGTCGGCTTTTGCTGCCATGGGAGCTGACTGCTCCCCGTTGTGGCTGCCAGGCGCTGCGTGACGCCGTGCCTCACCCGGGGCTTTTCAGAGCCTGACCGATGTCGGGGCTTTGTCCTCTCTGGCTGTTGTTTGATGCGCTCAGCCCGCGGGTTTCACTCCGGAGGCCGTGGATGTCAGGGCAGGGTGATTGACTGCGCTCAGCCTCCTCTCCTCAGCGGCTTTCCTCCCTGTGCAGGGGCTGCAGGTGTCCCAGATCAAGAAGGTCCGTCTCCTCATCGACGAAGCCATCCTGAAGTGCGATGCGGAGCGCGTCAGGCTGGAGGCAGAACGCTTCGAGAGCCTCCGGGAGATCGGGAACCTCCTGCACCCCTCGGTGCCCATCAGCAACGATGAGGTAGGGATGGAGCCCGGCACCGTGCGCGGTTTGGGGGCTGCGGGGCTGCCCCAGGCTGGCCGAGCTGGTTCGTCAAAGCGGGACGCTGCTGTGGGGCCGTGCCCCCCCCCGGATCTGCTGGAGGTGAATGAAATCTGCATGACAAGACAGCGTTTCCTGCTGGGAGCGCACAAAGAGCGGCTCAGACAGCGCATTGTACGGGCCATACATGGGAAATTCACAGCGGGCCGGGGGCTGGGATCTCCCTTCGCTGCCCCCATTCATCCAGCAGGAATATTTTGCTGGAGGAACACAATCGGGCCGGGCCAGCTGCCAAGCGGCCGCACAATGAGTGACCAGCAGGGATCAGCACTGGGGTTCCAGGCTCTGTTTGGTCGCTGCCGGGTGGCAAAGCCTGGGTCGGGATGGGGCCCCTGTGTGGGGCTGGGGGGAGGGAGGCGACCGGGGGCCGTGTTCCCAAACTGCCCGGTGGGGAACGCACTGATGTCACCGCGGCCCCGGGGAGGAGATGTGAAGCGTTGTCCCCTTCCTCTGTGCACAGGATGCAGACAACAAGGTGGAGCGGATCTGGGGGGACTGCAGCTGCAGGAAGAAGTATTCCCACGTGGACCTGGTGGTGATGGTGGATGGTTACGAGGGAGAGAAGGGGGCCGTTGTCGCGGGGAGCCGGGGCTACTTCTTGAAGGTGAGAGCCCTGCAGCCCGGTGCTCCGTGGGGACGTCACAGCAGGGTGTGTGTGACCAGCCGTGGCTTCCCCCATCCCGCAGGGTCCCCTGGTGTTCCTGGAGCAGGCCCTGATCCAGTACGCCCTGCAGAGCCTCCGTGCCAAGGGCTACACTCCCGTCTACACGCCCTTCTTCATGCGGAAGGAGGTGATGCAGGAGGTGGCCCAGCTCAGCCAGTTTGACGAGGAGCTCTACAAGGTGAGCCCGACGCCCGCTGGCTCTCTGTGTCTCGCCGCCTGGCACCCGTGGCCCCTCAGGGTCCAACCATCCCGCCCAGCCCACGCCGTGTGCCTCCCCCTGCCGGGGGGCAGCCAGCTGCCATCCACTTACCCAGCAGGGCTCTGGGTCTGCTTTGCTCTGAGGAAGGCTTGGCGGTCCGCAGCCAACGCAGCCGGTTGTCACGGCGATGTGGTGACGGAGACGGTTCGTCCCCAGCCTGGTTGTCAGGAGCTGGCAGGAGGCCATCGAGGCCCTGAAAGGAGGCCAGCAAACGGCAGCTGCTCCCCTTCTTGCGACCCACTTTGCAGCCGCCCCGTTCTCCTCTCAGCACCGCTCCTGGAAAACCTTGCTGCCAGGGGGCTGGGTGTCCGTGCCGCCACCAGCAGCATCTGTCAGGGCTGTGGGTTGTGTGAGAACAGCTGGGAAAGGAGGGCGCTGTCTCTTTCCCAAGCCCACGGCCCCCTCCTGTTCCCCAGGTGATCGGCAAAGGCAGCGAGAAGGCCGAGGACAGCTCCATCGATGAGAAGTACCTCATTGCCACCTCCGAGCAGCCCATCGCCGCCCTGCACCGCGACGAGTGGCTGAAGCCGGAGGATCTGCCCATCAAATATGCAGGGCTGTCCACCTGCTTCCGCCAGGAGGTCGGCTCGCACGGCCGCGACACGCGCGGCATCTTCCGTGTGCACCAGTTTGAGAAGGTGAGGGCGGCTGGGAGGCGGCGCGTGGGGTTTGGGGCAGGGATGGAGCCGACGTGGGGGATCTCTGCAGATCGAGCAGTTCGTCTACGCCTCCCCGCACGACAACAAGTCATGGGAGATGTTTGATGAGATGATCGCCACGGCCGAGGAGTTCTACCAGTCCCTGGGCATCCCCTACCACGTCGTCAACATCGTTTCGGGTAGGGGTCTGCACTGCAGGCTGCGTGGGGTGCCAGCTTTTGGGGTGGGGGCTTCTTCCCCTTGTTTCCGTGCTGTGCTGGTCTGGGAGGAGCCTGGCACCTCTGCCAGCGCCTCGGGTGTCACCGTGACCCTGACCCACTTCCCAGCTCCGCTTCCTTTGTCCCAGAGCACTGCTGGCTCACGTTCCCACGCTGTGCATCCCCAGACCTGCCGAGGGGGGGGTGGCACCTCAGCCGTGGGAAGGGGACACCAGGACAGGCGCACGCTGTGGGGCACCCCTCTGCCCCATCCCCACTGTGCCTCTGGAAGAGAGGGGCAGCCCAAGTGGCTCCTGTTCGAAGATGTGCCCCTGCTGAGGTTCTTTCCGTCCTCTGCTCTGCCAGGCAGGAGCGCTGCCTCCCACCCAGCGCTGCGCTGAGGTCACTCTGCGGGTTTTGACCCCTGGCTGCATCCCACAGTGGGGTGCGTTGGGGCTGCAGCCCCTAACCGCTGCCCTGCTGCCCACCAGGCGCCCTGAACCACGCTGCCAGCAAGAAGCTGGACTTGGAGGCTTGGTTCCCAGGCTCAGGAGCGTTCCGTGAGCTCGTGTCCTGCTCCAACTGCACCGACTACCAGGCGCGCCGCTTGCGCATCCGCTTCGGGCAGACCAAGAAGATGATGGACAAGGTGAGGGTGTGGGGCTGGGCGGTTGTGTTCCCCATTCCCCATTTGCTGTTCCCCCGTGTCACCCCTTGACGCATCCACCTGCCTCAGGTGGAGTTTGTGCACATGCTCAACGCCACGATGTGTGCCACCACCCGAACCATCTGCGCCATCCTGGAGAACTACCAGACCGAGGAGGGCATCGTCGTCCCCGAGCGGCTGCGGGACTTCATGCCCCCAGGTAGCGCCCTGCACGCTGCCGGGCCCCCCCTGTGCCTCTGGGGTGGGGGGCTGCAGGGTCAGGAAAGCCCCGCGGGCTGCAATCCGTTCCTTCTGTCGTTCCCGCAGACCTCCGGCAGATCATCCGCTTTGTGAAGCCGGCCCCCATCGAGCAGGAGCTCTCCAAGAAGCAGAAGAAGCAGCAGGAAGGCGGCAGGAAAAAGGCTGCGGGCGGCGAGCGGGTGCTGGAGGAGCAGATGCAGAACATGGGCGTCAGCAGCGCCTGAGTCCTTCGGCTCCGCCGGGCTCTGCGCCGCCTCCTTCGCTTCGGGTCGAGTCTGGGGCGGGAGCTGCCCGGTCCCCACCCGGCCCTGCGGCACCACAGGGCAAAGAACTGACAGTCGTGGGGCTCCGGCCCAAAGTGCGGCTTCCGCCCCCCCGCCTCCCCAGCGGGGTCACTGCATGGCGGGCTCATGGCAGGGGCGGAAACCTTCCTTCCCTCACCCCAATAAAGCAAAAAAAGCTGCTGAGCCGCGCGTGGGGCTGCGTGTCCTCCCGCGGGGCCTCGGTCGTTGCTTTGGAGGTGGGGGATTTTGCAGCCCCGCGGGGGCGGCCCTGGCCCCGCTCCGTTTCTGCGCCTCCGATGGCAGCAGCTGGGCGCGGGGGCCGCCGCCGACCCCACACAATGGCTCAGACAAAGGCCGATCGCATTTGTAATTCAACGAGGGGCCGGGGCCCCCCTCGCCCAGCTGCTGCCGGGACCCCCGCGGCGGTGGGCAGCGAGTGGGGGGGAGGCGGGGGGGGCTGCGTGCCTCAGTTTCCCCGCGGTGGGGCAACGGGGGGTCCGTGCCACCCACTGGAGGCGGCTGCGCGTCGCGCGTGGGAAACTCGGGGCTGCGCCCACGGGAAAGGTGTGGGGGGCGGCCCGGCGTCGGCCCCCCCAGCCCCGCAGCACCCCGCCCGGCCGGTTCTGCCCGCCCCGGCCGCGCATC